TCTGAAGGATACGGGCCGAGCCCCCCGCATTAACCACTGAATGAGTGAGACCCTCCTCAAAAATCCTAACATCGTCGGGATCCAGGTCTGACCCAGACTCATAGTCATCAACCACTACACCTTTTCCCCTTTCTGCTGCTGAAGAGGAAGCACGACCCGCTGCAAAAGACGAGGGCACGTCCGAAGTCACAACAGCAGCCCCAAAGTTCTGGTTCTCTACCACGACCAGGAGTTGATCATCAACAACGACAGGGACTTCTGATTGAGCCAAGACGGCGGCAGGAGTTTCTGGTTGTTGATCACGGGCACCAACAACTTCGATGGTTTGCTCCACCTATGGGGGAGCCGCAGTAACATCCCCTCTGGAGCCCGTCGGGGGGGGAGTCGTCCAGATGAATTACTGTTGGGGGCGCCGTCTCAAACTCAACTCTCCGTCTCTTCGATGGCCCCTCTTCCTCTTCAGTAGACGGTGACTCATCCATTTGGCGAACGACATTGGTCAGGACCTCGTCTTGGGAAGCGGCCCTCGCTGGAGTAATTAAGGTTGCAAATTCAACCGAAGCAGCCCTCAACAAAGGTCGTGTAGTGGATAATGCGATAGGGCGAGCAGATGCGGCCGGCTGATGAAAAGTTAGCTGAGGGGCCCTTGATCTCCGCACCCTCCCTGGCAACGACGAATGATGCATAAGAGGCTAAACAAAAAAGAAGAAGAGAGAATAGTAGATAAAGGCGTCTTCCCACCTGTAAGGGGCCTGCGTCCGAACCTCTCGTGAAAGGTCGACCACGTGTGAATCCCCACTATATGGGGAAGTATGGCCTCCACCCACTCACGAATCCCTTCGACGGGCGGAGGAGGCAATCTCTCAGCTGCAAAAAGCAAGAACAGTTTAGTACTCTCGAAAAAATGGTCGAACATTTCACTAACTAAAGATGCAAACTTACGCGCGAAGTTCCATCTCTCGGGGAATACCGTTGGGTCCGCCACAATGTGTTCGGTCCACACATAAAAGTAGTTATCATAGAAACGACAGTTGGTCCTGTCGTCCATCTTCACCACCAGACTCCTCGACCCCCGAGGACGCATATGGATCATCGAATCGCGGATCAGTTGAGGAGCAAAGATGTTGAGCATATGGTCCAAAGTAACCTCATGACCGGCAAGTTCCGCATACTTGAGCAGCATAAGGAATAACTTGTACACATAAGGCGAAAGCTGGGCGGGGCACACTTCGTAGAAACGGCAAAAATCCACCACCAACATGGGAAGAGGAAGTGTGTACCCTACAATGAAGGGGTAGGCGTAGAAAAAGCAGTACCCGAGACGATCGAAGTGAACTCTGTCGTTCCCCTTCACCGGCCGCATATCGACGTAACTGGGGATACCCCACCTTTCCTTCAGCTCTACAATACCCCTTGCTCTCATGACGGAGGCGACGGGTTCTGGTTCTCCCCCCTCCCCCGCTATTAAAACTGAAGTCAGTCGCCTCTCTTCCTGGACGAGGCAAGATCTCAACCACTAAGGGAATCTCCTCATCCTCTGTCGCATCCGCCCATCCGGTGTCCTGAACAGAACTCTCCGGTACCGGATTAGCGGCAGGAAGATTGTCGCGAGAAGAATCATCAACCATTTTTTAGCAGAAAATGCGCCAAAGAAGCAATGAGAAGAAGAGATGAAAGATTTCAGTGAATAAGAAGATAAGCAGAAATTCGAGGTATCAAAAAAGCTATATCTGAAGAACTGTCTCAAGCGAAAGATGAAGTGAATCAATCAAATGACAAGTCTCCTCTATTTATAAGAGACATAAATTCCCCAAGCACGAAACCCAAGAGTCGCCATTCGAATCTGATAGGGCACGAAACGTTTCAGTCTCCCAGAAATGTGTGTCATAATAGTGTTAACCACAAACTAGTCCTTCCGTGCCAACCGACGTTTCGATTCCAAAACCGCCGCAATGGTCCGCGAGGATTGAAGGAACGCCATCATTCCGCTAAAAACCCACAGAATGCGACTAAGGAACGAAAAGTTATAGGTCAGATTTCTCTCGACTGCGTAACGAGCATGATCTGTCCGTCGAGTCCGACATAGGACGAACCCGACAGATGGAGGGACTAACTGTATTGGTCAAAATCTGATCACCACGATCAAGTTATCCAACACCCCGCCTCAGTAACTGGGTAGTGAAAGTCAATAGAGCCCACTCCATTTCTCCTCTGTGACATCCGACGAATCGAAAAGAGTAACGCCTAAAAACACGACCAGGACACATTAGCGACGAGAAAGTGTCGAGTCAAGCAAAGGGTAAAGGGGCCTCGACTATATATAGCCAGAAAGGGCTCTCGATAAGGGGGCTTCTCCATTTTTCTTTCAGAAAAAGGAAAACAAAAAGCTCATTTCTTTTATCCTAGAAAACGGGGAAATGACCTCGAAGAATACATGTAACTTTACTTTCTCATCTATTGATGAAAAAGACAACGTTGAATCTTAATAAGATCAATCATGCCTCTTTTGTCTCATATGCAATCATTATCACTAACGTTTCGATCCGGAATTAATTATATTTGGCTAAGATTTACCCCTTCATCTTTGATTGATTTTTTCAAAAAGATTTTAACATCTTTTGAGTCAAACAATATATATACACACTCGGATTTTTTGATACATTAAAATTCAATGGACATCCTATTTTGCTTGAGAAAAAACTTTTACTATAAATTTCCATGACTTTTCATTTTCTTTCACACAAGTTTTCTTTTCATTCCTTTTCTTTCCCGAACAATATGTTTGGTCAATTTATTTTTATGTTCATACTGAACTGGTCCAAACTTATTCAGGAAGAAAAAAGACCAGTATATTATATATATTAAATGAGTGAAGCAAGCCACGTGCTGCAGACGTTACAATTTACATGATGTAATGATGTATGCATTTTGAATTTCATTGATATGTGGACGTCAACCACTGAAGATATTCAAGACCTACCCTCCTTCCACCCAACTTCTGCTCTTCCTCCCTAGTTTCATTGTAACCAATTAAAGTCATATTTTCTCTAATTCGACCGTTACTATTAATTCCACTGTCATTTAATTCTGCAGATTTATTTCTTTTTTGCTCTTTATTCGGTGAAATAATGAGTAATATTAAAACTTATTGCAATTGTGTTCCTCCCGTTAACTTTAGTTTTGCAACTAAAAAACTATAGACTTGATCATAGATATGAAAATGGCCCAATATCCCATATGGAATTACTTTGTATTTTAATGTAAGAGCGTTAGGTGAAGGATTTTGAAGCCATATAAGTATTGGTCCCCTTTTCACCACACCTCTTCATCTATGTAATGGAAGTACTTAACTTGATCTTCATTTTATTAAATGCTTCGCATTTATTGATAAGGTTGTTCATAATTCAGTGAAAACGTAATTACAGAATCAAATAAAAGATTTAGGTTTTTCAAATTTGGTAATTCAGTTCGATTTTTAGCTTTGATTTATAGAAATTCAATAATTTGGTTTGCGCTTTCAGTTTTCTGAAGAAAAAAATTGAACCGAGCTGACCGATGAACGCTAACTAATGACTGAGAACATGAATATACAGGTAGACGACCAATCTCGCGTGTATAGTGTTAAAAAGATTTTTACCTATCAATATTACATACAAAACTTATTTATCCTTCCTAATCAAGTTTTAACTTAATTATATACAAATTAGGATTAATGAGTATTCTTTTATATTAGGAATTGAATAGGGAATCAGTTGTTTCCCTGCTCTCTCTCTTCTTCGTCTCTATTCTCTCCTTCTCTGTTCTTTCCCCAATTTTTCTTCCTTTCTTTTCCTCTACTTTTTAACCTCTCTTTTTTTCCGAAAATTTATTAATGGATTTCAATCATTTTACTATAGAGTTTTGAACTTAGCAATTTCCTTTCATGTTGCATAATTGATGTTCGAATTGAAATTGTCAATTAATAAAATTTGAATGTGTTTGACTCTCTACCATTGTCAGTCATTAAAAAGCTTCGAATCTTTGAATTCGAATTTGGGTTTTCAAAAATTATTATTTGTTTGGATTGAGTGTTGTTGCAAATAATTAAAAATATTCTTTGGAGTTTATATCTTAATTTTGAGGCTATCTGGTGAATATTAGACTTGATTTTGGCCAAATTTCAGATTGAAACTCGAAGAAGAAAAACACATGACATACAATATATATATATATATATATATATATATATATATATATATATATATATATATATATATGTATACTTGTACTAGGACTGAAATTCCCCTACTATATAAAGGGGAAGATCTTTTATTTACACACACTATGACACGCAAATGAAAGCAAACAAAAAGTTTATTTTTGTCCGATAACTATTGTTCAAGGTGTTCTTCATTTGTTCTATTATTTATTCGCGACCGAGCTTGAATCGAGAGTCTAGTCGAGGACAAATTTCACTGTTCAAAGATAAGGCTTGATCATCACATTGCGATTGGTTTGATCATTTATTTTATCTCTGACTTATTTACCTGTTGTACTTAATCATTCATATTGAGTTAAATCACATATCCTTTAAACCGCGTATAAATTTATTTGTTACTCACGTTTGAGGGTAATCAATATGTTTATTTTATTTGAGTGTTGTATGAAAGTTGAAAATTAGTTGTATAACATACAAATCGGTGTATGAAATTTATATTTAAGTTATAAATACTATCTTTTTACATAAACTTGTTGATGTGTCACGTAATTTTGTAAAAGTGATGATCTTTGTTGATATGTCCCTTGAGTATTTTGTAAAAAGGATGATCTTTTTATATATAGCTACGAACGGTAAATACAATATATTTTCTGTATTCTTAATGCTTTGAAGAGCCTTTAGTGTGCTAGTACAAGTGTGCTTTTAGTCGCAAAATCGCAACCATCTCTCGACACAGCCAAAAATGACGCTGATATTGACACTATATTAGAATGATAGTGAACAGCTATTCTTAAGCAAAATATAACCACATATCACCCATTTAAGTATAAAAATATCCTGTACCTCACTCAAAAACCCAGTTAAAGAAACAGCTTTTGAAACGTGATGTTGAAAGTACAACGAAAAATATAGAAAAAAACAAACTAAAACATTACATTTTCAGCAAATTTCACGAATAATTCAAAAGGCCTTTGTGCCAGACCAAAAACCCTGACCCTCGGCAACAAGAAAATCCGATTACATCGCCTAAAATTGTGCTCCACGAGTGAAGAGATCTATAAAACAAAACATACTCGCTATAATCTTTCTACCCAAACTTGAATCCACCTGCAGGAACATTAGGCTGGCTGTTTCCGAATTGGAAACCTTGCTGATTCCCATCAATGCCATCGGGGAGAATTTGCTCTTCATCTTCTTCAGCCCAGTATTTCTCCAAGATCTTTACGGCCTTCTCATAGATCTCGTTGTTGTCATGAGTTTGGAGATTCTCGATCTTGTCCAATCCATCACATTCATCGATCATTTGTGCATATAAATTAATTCCACCATTCATGCCAGCTTCTTTGTCCATCTCGCCCACCTTTAATATATTCTCGAGCCCCTCCAAGCATACTGTAACGATTCTAGGATCTGGACATATCAGGAGATCGCATAGTGGCTTAATGCAACCTTGACTTGCCAAGAATCTGCAATAGGATACACAAACAGATCCCATTATTGGCCCCTCCACTTATTTGAAATAAGAATGTTAGACTTTCAACTCTTGCAATTGAAATGTTCATCTTTTCACAGTTGCACAGTAACCCACAATTTGCTCATTCAAAAACCTAGCAGCTGTTCCCTTAAAAGGTTAAACCCACTATAAGTACTGGAAATCCTCTAACGTGTCAAGATAATGAGTAGACGAGCATTCATTAATTATCGGTTCGTGTTTCAAACCAGGAACTTTGCATACTTTATCATCAGATAATACTCCAACAAAATGCCTACACAGGGCAAAAGACTCCATGAACAGTCATCTGATCATCATTTATCATCAAATTAGAGGAGAAATTTGCCGTTAGTTTCGCTTAAACTTCACGAATAGTTCTTTACTTGAAAACTCATATTGGCTCGGGTTACATGAAGAAGATGATGGGATCATAGGTTATATCAGACAAATAGTGCAATTAATGCACAGTCGCAGAGAAGATACAGACACAGAACAAACCTAATCTGGTCATAAGATCCTCCAGAGGTAGCATTTGAGATGGCCCATGCCGCCTCCTTCTTAATGTCAAATTCTGCACTTTGCAATAGGTGAACTAATGGAGGAATAATATTTGCCTCAATAACAGCCTGTTTAGAAGGAAATAAACAAGTGTAAGTGCATTAGTAGCAAGACGTCATATAAAGGGAAAGAAGATAAAGAGAACTTCCTGAATCAATTCCTTTCATCCCTGAAAGGGGAAAAAAGAAATCTGGAAAAAAAAAATTGACAAAAAAGAAGTGCGCTTCTCAATGAAATAAATTCTTGGTTTTTCATATAGCATCACACTCCAGCAGCACTTCTCCATTTCAACCAACAACAACAAACCCAGTATGTTCCCACCAGGTGGGGTCTGGGGAGGGTAGTTTGTACGCAGACATTACCCCAAGCTAACAGGTAGAGAGGTTGTTTCCAATAGACCCTCGGCTCAGGAAGGATAATAAGAAGAGGAAAGCAAGAAAGGGAGAAAGATGGGAAGAGAAAAGAAAAAGGGAGAGATAAAGGATAAGTAGCACCAAATAATAGCAACAGAGAATACAATGCCTGAGGCGAACAAAACTACATAATGTAATAAAAATCCAAGAATATGAAGGGACATGCGTGCTACTAAGACTATCGGTGAGCAACTAAAAACTACCCACTAACCTTCTACCTTAATCCTCGACCTCCACACCCTCCTATCAAGGATCATGTCCTATGTGAGCTGAAGCAGCGGCATGTCCTGTCTAATCACCTCTCCCCAGAGTACTTCTTAGGCCTACCTCGTCCTCTTCTCAAACTTGCCATGGCCAACCTCTCACACCTCCGAAGAGGAGCATCAATGCTCCTTCTCTTAACATGTCCGAACCATCTCAACCTCGACTCCCGCATCTTGTTCTCCAAGGAGGCTACTCCACTCTGTCTCGGATAACTTCATTCTTGATCTTATCTCTCCTGGTACACCCACACATCCATCTCAACATGTTCATCTCTGCTACTTTCATCTTTTGCACGTGGGAGTTCTTGACTGGCCAACACTCCGCCCCATACAGCATAGCCAGTCGAACCACCACTCTATAAAACTTACCATTAAGTCTTGGCAGCACATTCTTATCACATAAACTCCGGAAGCGAGCCTCCACTTCTCCATTTCAACCATCCTATTTTAATTCTATGTGTTGCATCTTCATCTATCATAACATTCTCCAAGAAGTTGAGCCTAAATATCTGATTGGTATATTTAAGTAGAAAATCCCATCTAATCTCACGTCAATTTCACTATCCTTATATTGGCTAAACTTGACGTGCATATATTATTTCTACTTATCCTAAAACCGTCTAAAGTGTTTATTTATAGTTCAATATTTTGGTTGATAATCCTCACTAGTTTCATCAATTAACACAAAAAGTTTGCAAATAGCATAAAGTATTAAAGCTCATCATGTGTACTATTAGTGAGTTCATACATAACTACAACAACATACCCAGTATATTCTCATACTTGGGGTCTGGGGGAGGGTAGTGTGTATGCAGACCTTACCCCTACCTAGTGAAGGTAGAGAGGTTGTTTCCAAGGTTAAGAAATACGTGCTAGATGTAGGTCCCTTTTGTAAACTAAACAAACATGATTATGGGAATTACACCCAAGATTATGGGGAACCTTATTGTAGCTCCTATTGTTCTAACACTTGTAAGAGCTTCTTTTGTACATATCCACATTGATAATTCCTTATAATAATATATTAAAAACAGGAAGCCCTTAACTGAAAAGTTAAATTACAAGAATGCCCTTTTACTTAATGCTCTATTTAGTTTTATTTAAAAAACTAAAATAAATTACAAGAATTCCCTTTTACTTAATGCCCTATTTAGTTTTATTTAAAAAAGCTAAAACAAACCTTCAGAAAGGCGTGCGTATCTGCCGAAGAGTCGCAATGTTTTGTTTCCTTCTATACAAAGATATACTACAAATTTTTGAATGGGTATAACGTCGACAAGTTAAAGCAAAACCTCCTGCAAGAAGGCGTCGATTATAGCAGATAATAGATTTGTAAGTTCACTTTTATTTTCATATACAGAGAATATATATTTAAACTTCTCATGCCGCTCTTTGGTTTTGTTTCTCAACTAATGTTCTGATATGGGTCTACCATTTGTTATTGAATTGAAATCGGTTATGATTAGAGTTGATCGAGATTGAATTTTTCCGACTAAACTTTTCTATTTCTCTGTTGTTTGTGTTTTCTGGCTCAATAGTCATTGACAAGGCATAAATTTTCTCTCAATTATGTTTGCCTCATAGTTCAATTCAATATACATCACATAGCATGCACATTAGTCGAAATTATAAGGTTATAACTATCGAGAAGGCCCAAAAATCCTTTTAAGATTCATGTTTTCTAGTTCTTTCTATAGCTTTAATTAGCCGAGGAATACAAAGACAAGAAAACCAACATTGCGTGTCAAATATTTTATTCTATTTTCACAAATTTTGGAAATGTACAATGTATATGTTTTTATTTTCTGTATGATAATTCATTGGGACCGTTTTCTCGTGCCTATGTCATTTTCCTAAAATTAGCGATTTTACAACCAGTTGGTTCACCCAACAACCCATGGCAGCTGTGTTGTGGTTTTCTACTTTAACTTCTCGTCATGATTTTTCAAGTCAAAACTAAGAAATATTTTCTTACCATAGGAATTGAATGCAGGAGTAATAAGGCTAAAAGGAATGCCCATACATATATTAAACGAGTTAATCCCGAGTTCAAGTCCCATATTTCATTTAGAAGACCATGTTAGTATATTTAGAACAAAGTAATTCCTTTGAGTGATCTATGCCTTTTGACTTTATTAATAAAAGATTTTAAGTTACTTCAGAATGCTAGCTTTTGATATATTAAAATATGTAATTCACAACTACATTAAATGTTTTTCGAAAGGACATCGACTGTTTTTAATATATAAATCTTGTAAATAGTGATATGTCATACACGTGCAACGCACGTGCAGAGAAATTAGTATATATATATATATTCTTCGTTTGCACTTTCTTTTCAGTAAATTCCATATTTTAAATTTTTAATTAAGCCTGCTCCTTCAACCAATTTGGGACACTTTAAAGTCCCAGAAACCCTGGTGTATTCTACATATTTTACATTTGACAACACCAACTTAATCACAGCCAATCTAGCAATAGTCTCAACTATCTATACCCACAAGGAACTTCTCTTTACACCAAAAAAAAAACATTAAACTACCATGCCTAGTTCCAAAGTAGCCAGGGTTGGCTTTATGAATACTCCTTATCCGTTTCACTTGGTTTCTTTTATACTTGTTACATCTCTTTTGCTTTTCTATGATTTACTTATGGGAAAATGCATAAGTACCCTGACCTATACCCGGATTTCCAACTACACACTTTATCTTTATGGGAATCCTACTAAACCCTTAAACTTTTTTTAAATGGAATAAATATCACCTTAAAACTAGACAACCAAACTCTTGGCAAGTGGTGAACTACACGCGCTGCCACATGTATATTTAGTACTTTTTTTTATTCTTTCTTCTTTTTCTTATCCTTTTTTCTTATTTCTTATTATCCTGATTTTTTTTGTTATTTCATTCTCTTTCTTTTTGTTTTGGTCACTGGCGGCATAAAATGGTGGTAGTCGGAATTTCAAGGACACCATTTTTTCGGCGAATTTTTTTTCTGGCGATAGATTTTTACCCCGATCTGAGTGTGTTTTGCTTCATATTATCATATATCTATATAATTTTTTCTTGAAAGTGTAATTTATGTGTGGGAGGAAGAGCAAAAGAAAGAAAAACGAATATAAGCTGAGAAGACTTTTTCCATTTAAAATTTCGATACCTCAATTTTTTCCGGCGTGGGAAGGTTTTCCGATGATGAATTTTTTTCCCCCAAATCTGAGTGTAGTTTATTTTGCTTATGAATAGATCTTTTTGAGAGTTTAATTTGTGTGTGAAAATGATAAAAAGAGAAAAAAAAACAGAATAAATGGAAGAAAAACGGTTAGACAAAGTCGCCGGTGAATGAATATCCGCCGGAATTAGAGAAGAAACGAAAAAAGAAGTAAAAGAAAAAGACAAAGAAAAAGGGAAAAAAGGAAGAAAAAATGGTAAACAAGCCAAAAGAAAATTCTGAAAATCGTTTTTTCTTGCTCCTCACTCTCCCAAGGAGAGTGAAATACACACACTCTGCCATGTCAGCTTTAAGGGTGCAAATAATTCTACTTTAAAATAGATTAAGGGGGCTAATAAAAATCCCGCAAAGATAGAGTGTGTAGTTGAGAATCCGGGTATAGATCGGGGGAGGGGGGTTACTTATGCATTTTCCTTTTACTTATTTCTTCCATCCCAAATTAGTCAAAAAATGCAAACTGAAATTGTTCTCAAGAGGGGGAGACGGAGCATTTATCGGGATCAAACTGCCTTCATTTCCTTAAACAGACTAATTAAATCAGAACACAACAAGAGCTTAACTGGACGGAGACATACCTGTATTTGGGCTTTGTTTCCAGCAGTGATATTAGAGATTGTCCAACACGCCTCCTTCTTGATGCTTTTCTTGTGATTTTGAGTTAACAATTGACAGAGACATGGCAATACTTGGTTGTCAATCACAAACTGAAATATATAAAGCAATTAGTCATGTGAAAATAGAGCAAAAGAAAGAGAGGAGAAAAACACTTGTTAAACGCTTAAATCCATATTCAAGTAGAAGCGGAGGTGATATTAGAAGAATTTTTCAATTTTTCCTAATTATGAGGAATCTATACAACTTCATCCTGAAAGACAAAGAGACACGATAAAAATATTGGCAGTGCTACTCAGTAAATTGTGCTCAATAAACAGATTCACATGCTAAACTAGGATAACATAATCAACCGTACAACAGTTTCATATCATTTAGATTTTTGATGTGGAGATACAGTAACCTGAAAAACAAATTTTTAAACACGATAAAGGTAACATCAGAACATTGATTCACCCAGAAGATGAAGTAGCCGTACCTGTGTTTGAGCATCATCACCAGTGACAATATTTCCCGCAGTCCGGAGCGCAGGAATGAGAACTGTAGGCGACGGATGACTTCATAAGACAAGTGGGAAAAAGCCAAAGTTAGCGTCAAATCAAGTGGATTTTTATGATAATGCAAGCATGAAGTTGGATGTCAGAGACCGATATCCAACCCCCTAAAAGCATGGATACAGACTAAAAACAACATTGTAGAGGAAGTTGGAACATACCGAAGAAGCTCCACAAGTCGTGGACAGACACCTGCCTCAATTACAGCCTGAATCTTATCATTTGGGCCATCAGATAAATAAGAAAGGGCCCAACAAGCATCTGTCAAGACTTCTTCATCATTCATGTGGATAAGTTGTTGAAGAACAGGCAATGCAGGTTTGACCTATAAAATACACTGTCAGGAATTATTTTCTGAAATAAAACTTTAACTATCTAGGTAGATCTGGAACAATATTACAAACCACAAAAATGCTTTCATTAGAAGGAAGCATAACCCAAGTCCACTTACCGCCTCAAATGGTGTTGGTGGTTTGCCTCGACAAAAGTTAGAGAGAGTCCATGTCGCGTTTCTTAGCATTGAAAGCTTTGAGTGTTCATTCAGCTGAGCTAGCAATGGCATCAGTGCACCCTGGCTTAGAACGAGATCTCTACAACTTGGGGAATCGCCAGCAACATTGCCCAAAGCCCAGACTGCCTGTTTAGTAAAATGGTGTTGCAACAGAATTGTTGCCCGAAGTTTTGGAAAGAACCAACAATTATTAAACTCTTATGTTTTTAATGTCAAGGGACTTGCACGTTTCTTTAGAAGTTTGGACATCACAACTCTTTGAAGAAAACAGAGCATCACATACAGAAATTACAGAAGCAATATCTGGGAATTTTGCAAACCTCCTACATTTATACAACAATCAATACCGCTTGGCTTTCACTTAGTATCAAGCTCCTTGAAAACAGAGCCACCACAACTCACTAATCCCTTGTGCACAATGGATCCCACAGTTGCGGTGCACTGGTTACTTGGTACACTAAGTTTAGTTATCCATTTTTATTATCCTTTATTTTTACATCTCCATCACTTTTTTTTTCTCTCTAAATCCAACTGCACTAAGGAAAATCATATTACAATTTTTTAATCCGGACATGCAAGTAAACAACAACAACAAAAAACACAGTGTAGTCCCACAAGTGGGGGCTGGGGAGGGTAGTGTGTACGCATACCTTACCTCTACCTTGAAAAGATAGAGAGTTTATTTCCGATAGACCCTCGGCTCAGGAAAGATAAGAAGAAAGGAGTAACAAGTAGTAACCCCAGCAGGCCAATCAGCAAATTGAAGTCAACGAAACAACAAATGATAACACAAATATAAGAATAAGAAGATACAAGACTACCACTACGTAGCAGACTAATACCACTGGTATGAACAAGGAAAACAATTATTTCTTACTTTAGACTTGATTTTGCTTAAAATTGTAGAATTATGAAGAAATGATTAATGTAATATGATTGTCCTTTCTTATCAAGGTTTCTGGAAGTATAACTTAAAGAAGCTCTCCGTACTGAATTATGTTTCAGCCTTTAGGTTAGATAACAAATTGCAAAGTCATTCATGTTCCACAAACCGAAGTGATCTGCATAATGGGTGACATAGTTTTAAACTTTAAACCCACCAGGAGAATACTGAAGTTCACGTGAAGCTGTCGGGTGCACAGGTTAAAATAATAGTATAAAATAACCAAAAAATTACCTGTTCACGGACATCATCACTGGCAGAGCTAAGAAGTTGTACAAACTTCGGAACAGCTCCATGGTCAATCACGATGCGAGTATGTTCCGATGTTCCAGATGCAACATTTGTCAATGCCCAGGCAGCTTCAAACTGCAGGTACAGGAAAGATCAAGGCAAACGTAATATTGTTGCTGCATCTTGAGTAAACGCAACATAACAGGAAAAGAAGGAACTATAAATAACACATACTTGAAGCTGAGGCAGGTCATGCCGTCCGAGGAATTCTACAAATCTAGGGACAACTCCAGCCTTAATCACCTCATCAATTGGAGGGCTGCGCTCTACAGTTAACAAAACTATAGTCAATGGCAAAGGCGAATTAAGAAAAAAAAGCCAAAAACAGCGGAACAAATAAATACCAATCGATAAGAGCTTCCTGAAATGTGTTGTTGCTTCAACTTGTGCTGCAGGATCTTCTGACCATACTCCTTGGACCATAAGAGGAATACTTTCCAGCTGTCAGAAAACACAAAAAAAATGTTAGAGGTGGACCGAGATAATAGTAAAAAGATCAGGGGAAGGGAAGGACGAGAGTATCATCTTTAATCTCTCAAATACATTCCACCTGTCCTTATTCCAAACGTTTGACAATTCCATAGATAATTATCTGTAAACCTTTAACGTGTTTCAAGAATCCACAGTCGTCAGAGTATTAACAGCATGATATGGTGTTTCCTTATAAAACTAATGCTACCTTTTACATCAAAGAAAAGGTTAAAATATGTAAGCCCAAAGGACTTACTGATTTCCATTCCTCTTCTTAATTTCAAGAACCAAACTTGCCAAATAATACATTTCTTTTTGCTCTTATGCTAGCATCTCTCATCTTATGCTTCTAATCTCTTCATTCTACAGTTACTCGATTATTTTTCCTCATCATGCTGTGGCATTATTTACCTTTTTTTTTTTTTTTGAAAATCATTCTTTACTGAAATGTGAAGCTACGTTTTCTATCGAAATTCACGTCTGTACTGACATGATGTGTTAAGATCCTGGTTCTATCGATAATATGCTGAAAATTGTAACTAAATTCTCTACATAGATATTTTGTGTTCGATATTGTATGTTCATATTTTAAGTCCTTGATTAAAGTATGGGTACATTCTTTATCTCTGTCTTAAGTCTCGCTAGCGCTCCCTTCCACCATCGTACTTGGTCTACCACTCCAACAATTTGATCATCATATTGAAATTTGGCAAACACTAAAAAAGTTTAATAAAATCAAGAGATAATTTCATTTAGTAAATACTAGGATCGTGCAAAACAACATACAATCAATTATAACTTGTTCTGATAACCTATACATACTAGCATTTTCTCTTTACACAAAAAAAATATGCTACAGCTTTTTTCTAGACTACTAGTCAAATTTGTTCAAGTATATGATTATAAGGAGCCCATTATTGATCCCACTGGTAATAAAGGGCTGCATAGCTCTAAAGAAGTACTGTAATACGAGCAAGTCCACACATAATTCTCTGTATTAGTAAGAAAACAGAATAATCAAAGTCCAAAATCTGGCCATTCTCTTGCTTATTGCTAAAATATTCCAAGCAAACAAGCACGATCTCAATAATAACACATAAAGAAAAAGGTGGACTAATAAGTGGAGACAACTTAATTCACCTCAACCAGTAAAATCACAATACCCAACTCGGAAATAGTCAAAAGAAAAAAGCAAAAAATACAAACTTCTTTCTCAGCTCCAAAAATAACCAACCAATCACATCAAGAATCAGACATAACAAAGATCAAAAGCTTTTCGACACTACGTGACATAAAAATACCCTTTTCTCAATAGCGGCAGGGGCATCAGGTAATTGTTGGGACTGAAGAAGAAGACCCTCACGGCGCTTCTTGAGGAGATTATCTTCGCGTTTGTTCTTCCTGATCTCCACTAAATTGTCCTCTCTTCTTCTACGGGCTTCATCTGCATCAACCCCAATTTTGTAAGATTTCTTGCGGACTTCAGTTCGAGTGCCGGGTCGAAGAGACATTTTCTTGAAATTGAGGGGGGTTTTGGGGGATAATACTGCCTCTCCCTCTCCCTCTCAGTGGAAATTTGGAAGAAGAAAGAAAGTGGAAACTTGAAAAGTGAGATTAAGAGAGAGAGAGAGAAAGGGGAAGAGAAAATGTTGAGGGGGTGAGATTTTGAAGAATATAAAAGGCAAGAGAAAGTACGGGGGCCAGTAGGAATGGGTTGTGAAACTCACTTTGGGTTATTCTTTGTTTTTGCTTTTAAGACACGTTAAGGAAAAAATACAGGCTGATTTTTGGTCTTTCTTATTATGAGTCATCACACAATAAAAAAGTAAAATAGTATGAAAGGTGGAAGTGTGTCACAGGTAACATCCTTAAGTAAAATATTGTATTTGTATGCACGAGATATTGTTGGTTTTCGACGACCATGTTAAATGAATCATTTGTTTGAATTAAGTTATATATGTCATGATCGATCTAAGTTTGGAGATTGAAAAAATATAATGAGTTTAGTGAAAATAACTTTCATATTATGGTGGATGAGATTGTATATTGCAAAGTATAGAGGTGTATTAAATAATAAAAGAACCAAATATAATATATTGTTGTGTCTTAATATATTCCATATCCAAATATTATGATTTGTACATTTTGGAGCAAGTATTTCAAATTATGTTTTTTTTTGGGCAAAATTAAATATTAGTATGGGTTATTTTAATTGTGAAAAATGAAATCAGGTGATCATATTAACAAAAAATGTAATGTGGAGATTACTTTTTCTAATGCACCCAAAAAGCAACCAAGTTCTACAAGGCTACAAAAAATATAGGGGGCTAACTTACAATAAACCAAAGAAGAAGGACTTGCACGATCACGAAGAACAAGGGTTTAAGCAAATCTCCGAAGAAACCCTCGCATCATCAATGGCGAATCAGGAAGCAAAAAAGCAGGAAGAAGAAGAAGAAGAATACGGGGTGTTGTTATACTACAAGTACACTACCATTCCCGACCTCCAACAACTGTTCAACTTCTATGAATCCATCTGCAACACTCTTTCTCTCCTCGGTCGTGTTCGCCTCTCTCCCAATGGCGTCAACGTCACTGTAATCCCTCTCTTTTCGCCATTGAAAATGGAACATGAAAACCCCCATTTGTTCAAAATGATGATTCTGAGCTATTTAGGTGGTTTCCTGCAGGTTGGTGGCAAGTTATCTGCTTTGGAGGAGCATATTGCTGCAGTGAAGTTGAATTCTTTGTTTGATGGCACGGACTTCAAGCTTGCCTCTTGCCATGAACCTTCGAACGATAGGGTTGCCAAGGAATGTGGATTTACTTCCCTCTCCATACGTATTGTTAACGTTGGTTCACTAATTTCATCTTGTTCTTTTTTGTCTGTGTTCATTTGCAGTAATAAGTTATATGGTTGATTCTAGTTAGTGGCTAGGAAAGATCGAAACTTTCAGAAATTTTAGTTGTGTTAGATGCAAATTAGAGCCTAAATTGAATGAAAAACTTGCCCGTGTTTAGGGGTATGATAGAATTAAAGGGCATAATATGTGTGGGCAATTGGCATTGACCCTGCTCGGCAACTGGAGATATTGGGAGAGATTGCATGTTCCTCCTCACTGCTATTAATTTGCACCCCCGCGGTTACATTTCACAAACTTATTAACTTAAAGGGACCAAATAGTCAAGTCCACATTTTTGGTAGAAGTTCATATCAGATTTGGGATATACTAACCTACAAGCTCCCAAGTCAATTTTTTTAAATCAAGAAGTTCCTAAGTCATATATAGAGTATTAAGAAGGTGAACCTGCATTTGTTTCTAATATAGCTATTAGAAATTTGAACTATAACAGAAGTTTGATCTGTCCAAAAAGAAAAAAGAAAAATCTTCAATGAATTTTTTTAATTCTAGGTATTTGATCTATTAATCTTGACACCTCTATTGATATTTTTCCCAAATCATATAACTTGCTAAGGAACATAGGATAACGAGCAGCTAGAGCTATCTCCTCTAAAAGCCTTAGATGATTCTTATTTGTTAAGCAAAACCATTATAGCAATGTTTCGGATAATTGCATGTGGTCCTATCTCCTATGACACATTCAGGTATCAAGTTTGAAACTCGGGGGAGTATGGCCTGCCCTTCTACCCTATTTCTAACTTAAATATCAGGCTTTTGTTCACGGCAGGATTCAAACCTGTGACTTGCTCCTAACCCATACTTCATGAACTACATCCTTACCTTTGAACCAAAGCCCTTGCTGCAGACCATTGGAGCAATGCAGAAGTAGGCTATCGTGAAATTGTGATTCTACTCTGTCTTGGTCCTATCTAGCTTAAATGCCATTGCGGGTCTCGGTATTTGACTGGCATCTTCCACATTCGCATGATACTGCTGATATTTCGAACCAAAATACAATTAGGGTGTGGCTAATTTTGGTTTCTGCAAAAGAAAGTGAAATGCTGCAAGCGTCAGCTATCCATTTAACATGGCCAGCAAATCTTTGGATATAATGGAGAGGACTTCTGTATGGAATGAAAGTTCTATAATCAGGATGTTGAACTTGGTCTATGCTAATAAAGAGAGCACATAGATTGAAAAAAATTGAAACTGTGTAAGCAAATTTCATAAAAATAAACATGTTGGATTTTCTTCTATGAAGAGGAAAATCTGGCTAATGTTTGTTGAGTAATTGACTTTTAGTGAAGTTTGTTTCTCTCTCTCTCTCTCTCCAAGTGATACTAACCTCATCTTCTCACTCAGGAATTGGTAACTTTAAGTTCCTGTCCCCTGCAAAAGTCACCTGAAATTTCAAATGCAGGGAAGCATCTCTCTGCAGTTGAATTCCACTCTGTCCTTCACAATATTGGTTTGTACTCGACCTCTCTGATGAAGCTTAATCCATGTTCTTCTAAGTTAACTATGATCTTTCTGATGTTTGGATATTGGACTTTTGTAGAACGAATGTGCATATTTCTCTGGCAGCTGTTTAATTCTCAGTATTTTATTAGGGAACTCTCAGGACAAACTGATTCCAAGCAGCAATAACGGAATAGTCCTGATGGATGCAAGGAATTTATATGAGACTAGAATCGGGAAGTTCTATACTCCAAATGTGGAGACTTTGGATCCAGAAATCCGGCAGTACAGCGACCTTCCTTCTTGGATAGATAATAACTCTGAGAAGTTGCGTGGGAACAATATTCTTATGTAAGTATTGCTTAACAATATTGTATCATATTTGGGTGGATATATTCTGATGAACTGCAGGGAATATTTCTCTTATGTTCTTTCTTGTGATTTTGTGATATTGCTTTTTTATTCAATGGTATCATATGTGTCTTACATGGTGAAGAAACTGCACATGGGCTTACTTCTACTCAGTTAAAGCCTTGCTGCTATCCTGCTTCGCTGTTTTGTTCCCTTTAAATTTCTAATCTCTCATTGGTTTTATGTTACTTTCCAGGTGATGTGTATTGAAAACATCGAATCTGCGGCATTGTGCCTTCATGTTATTATACAGTAGTGAATTAAAAACTTGTTTCCTTTCGTCGATAATCGTACAACTTCAACTATTAAGTGTAGGACATATTGTATCTGCTGTCTAGTTGCAACTACTTCCATGCTTTATTCTTCTTGCATGTTTTAAAAAAAAATGTTTTTCTCCTTTTTTTTCTTGGATATGGCTAGACCCGGTACATTACTATCATTATATTATTTGGTGTATAGAAAAATTCCTTTAGGACTATTAGGAGGAAAAGATGGACTGATTTCCAAATGATATTATGTAAAATGCGTTTAATTCAGAATTAAGATGTAAAACTGCATCATGTAGATGCTTAATTATCAGAAGATAATGCTAATAACTTGCATGCATTTTAGGATATTGGTAATCTTGATATTTTATCGGAAACAACCCATCTACTCCTCCGGGGTAGGGGTAAGGTTTGCGTACACACTACCCTCCCCATACCCCACTTGTGGGATTTTACTGAGTTGTTGTTGTTGTTGGTAATCTTGATATTTCTTTAGGAATATTAGAATCTGGGGGAAAAAAATAGACGAAATGTTGCAAATAGAGCTGTCAAAACGGGCCGGCCCAGCCTAGCCCAGCCCTCGCGGGCCATGAAAGTTGATGGGTTAGGACGGGCTGGCCCTTCACGCAAAAGGGACTTAAAATGGCCAGCCCAACCCAGCCCTAAGAGGGCCGCGGGCTAGGACGGGCCAGCTCTTTATTTTTAGTCCTTTTTTATAAGATAATTTTATTTTCAAATGGTTAATGAAGCTTCAAGAATCAAGATATGATGACTAATAAAGAAATGGAAAAGACTTGAAAACATACCAACAAAAGTGAAACACACTTTATTATGAATTCATCAATACTTCGCATATATCAGAATTGCAATTTTGTCAATTAAAATCAGGAAACTAAATAATTGTCCAAGTTATTAATAGATCAGCCAAATATAAAAAATAAAAGTTCTACAACCAAAATATACTCTACTAGACTACTACGTAGTGTCTGATCAAATCTTAGGTCCATAATTAAACTGTCCCAGTAATATTGCTAAAAAAATATTGTATAATAAAAAAGTCATTAAACGAATGACATCAGTCATCACAAAAAATAAAAAGACCTTAATGAAATAAACTCCTCCTATAAAAAAGTTTCACGGGCACTTATATCATATATCCAATATCAACACATTGTCAAGACATATTTAAATCCGATTGTGATAAAGTTGTCTTAACATTTTCATCTTCATCTTCCTCTGCAATTCATATGCAATGTTGATTAGTTAAACATTAACAAATAACTGCATTTTAAAAATAAACGATATTAAATCCACATAAAAATATTACCACTTTGAGTTTGAGTAAAGCCGTGCAACCAATTTCGAGTAGCAACAAGTGTTTGGACATTTTCATGATGGATGCAACTTCTATACTTGGTGAGAACACGACCATCAATACTGAATGCTAATTCTGATGCTACAGTAGTAATCGGGATACTAAGTACATCTCGCGCCATTACTGATTCCAGAATGATTCTTCCAATACATGATAACATCCATTTTGCGAAACTTATCAAAATCAAGCTTTGGCTCCTCTAAATAAATATCCAATTCTGATTTTCCATCATTGGAAGCAGATTCATTCTCAAATGCTTTGAATTCCTATAAGTTAAACACATGACACTACACTTAAGAACAAATAATAATAATAATAACAGTGAAAAAAGAAAAAGAAAAATAAAATTACTTACATCGAATATTTTGAATCCCGTTCCTTTGGATATACTTCTTTCTTCACTTGATGTAGTCAGAGTACTAGAAGAAGCACTCGCAATATTTTACTTATTTGCGTAATGATCATAAAGCTTGTACAATTTATTTTTCACATGCTCTAATTGAATCCAAGTTAGAGTAACAGAACTTTAAAAATTATAACTTCATGCGAGGATCAAGGATTGCTCCAAAAGCAAGCACTACACTATATAACTTCCAGTATTTTTTAAACTTTTCGTGCATTCTTGAAGCCATTTCCTTAATAACTTCATCTTCATTATTCAAATTCTCATTAAGCATGCACTCAATTCTCCAAACTTGCATAAAATACAAGTTGGATGTTGGATAACTTGAACCAGAAATCAAGTTAGTTGTCTCGTAAAAAGGCTCCAAGAGTTGAAATATTTTCTCCTCCCTTCTTCACTGATCCAATGTAGGACAATAAGTATAATTTCTATCTATTAAATGTAGACTAGCAAAAGCCTTTTCATACTGGAGTGCACTATCAAGCATCATATATGTCGAGTTCCATCTAGTTGATACATCCAAACGTAAACCAAGATTTGTTTCAATTCCAACTTCCTTAACACATTGCTCAAACTTTTGTTTTCTCCCATCCGATCCTTTAACATACTTAACACTTTCTCTTATTGAATACAAAGAATCACTAACTGCTTTTAAACCCTCTTGAACAATTAAATTCAAAATATGAGCAGAACAACGCATGAAGAACTCACCATCATTCAACAAACTTTTTTGCAACCTAAGATGGCCTTTCAAAATATTTTGTAAGCTATCATTGGCAGTGGCATTATCTAAAGTGATTGAAAATACCTTCTTATCTATGCCCCATTCTTTCAAACAGTCATATATAGCAGTAGCCAATTTAACTCCAGTATGAGTAGGATACATACGATAGAAATTAAGAATTTTATAAACAACCTCCAATTTTCATCAACAAATTGGGAAGTTAAACAAATATATCCCTCCGAGTTAGATGATGTCCAACAATCAGAAGTCAAGCATACCTTATTAGGAATTTTTGCTAAGATTTGTTTTAGTTTCTCCTTCTCTCGGATATACACTTTCTTGACATCTGCAACACAAGTGTTCCTAGAAGGCATCTTAACATCTGGACTTATATAATTTACCCAAGACTTAATTCTATCATACTCGACGAAAGAATATAGCAAATTACGCTTAATGACAGCTTCAGCAAGGATACTACGATGTGTCCATTGATCTATTTTTCTAGATTGCATTTTACCTTCTTGATTNGTAACATCTGGACTTATATAATTCACCCAAGACTTAATTCTATCATATTCGACAAAAGAATATGGCAAATTATGCTTAATAACAGCTTCAACAAGCATGCTACGGTGTGTCCATTGATCTATTTTTCTAGACTGCATTTTACCTTCTTGATTCAAGAACATTTGACCCAAATCATGAACTTTAAGCATTGGACAATGAGATTTATGATGATGCAAATGTGATGTTCCATAGTTTTTACCTTTGGGTCCTGGAGTTGAACCAACCTTAAATGGTTTCTTACACCCTTTACATGCAACCCTTTCAATTCCATCTTTAGCTCTGTCGATTCTTTTGAAGTAAAGCCACACATCTGATGTTAACTTAGTTTTTTTCTGACTTGGTTCTGCAGAATCATTTACTTCCACAATGTCATCAATATGTTCATGTGTTCCATTTGAATCATCCATTGGTCTTCCTGTAACAAAACGAAAAAGAAGTGTTAAGTTTATAAAGTAAACACTGCCACGACAAGTTAGTAAAACTTTTGTAAGAAAATAATTATTAAAGTGTGTACTTAACTTTTGAACCAAATGTATCCCAAATCTTGCATTCACGATGTAAATAAACAAAAACAAAAGCCTAAATATGATCCATGTACATATACAGATGCATACAGAATAGACATAAACCCAAAGTAAAATGAAGAAATACATATGCATGGGAATAAAATATGAAGCAAACAGAGCATTAGTCACGTACATAATGGATTGAATAGTCCAAATATTAAACTTATTTATTTGTAAGAAAGAAAGATTAGTAAACTCAAGAAAAAAAACTAATTACCTTGTAGTAAATCGTCGATGCCGAAGATTAAGAGAGAGGTAGCGATAAAGAATTAAGGATTGAGGGGAGGGAGGCAGAGAGTTGCGTTAGTATGTTGACTGTTGAGGAAGAAAAGTTTATGATTAGGGTGCAAGACTTACGTCTTTAGCCCATTCTGGGCCGCGGGCTAACTTGGGTCGGGCTTCTTAGCCTCAGTTGTAAAATGGGCTTAAAGTATCTTAGCCCAACCCTACCCTAGTAGTGGGCTGGATTGGGCTGGCCTCATGGGCTAAACCCATTTTGACGGCTCTAGTTGCAAAGTATATTGTATAAAATTGCATATAATTCAGAGTTAAGATATAGAATAGCAGCACGCAAACTCTTAATTATCAGATATAACACTATATGAATTGCATGCATTCTAGTCGTGATCTACACTCCACTGTTGACTGAGCATCTGGGTTTCCTATCACTCATTAATGTGTTTTCAGGTATTGTACTGGAGGAATTAGATGCGAGATGGCATCGGCCTATATCAGGTCTAAAGGTGCCGGCTTTGAAAAGGTTTTCCAGGTAAACTTTTAGGAGAATCAAACCCTTCTGGTGCACTTTTTAAATGTTGTTGTGTCTTTCTTCGGTATTGTTGCTACATTGAAAAATAAATTAAACTATGATTTCTGTTTTATTAAGTAAAATTCTGTTGAATGTGGAACCCTAACCTTGTGTCAATGGTTAGTTTTTTGAATTTCTTTTGAAACCATGAAGTTGGTCTTTTAAGCTTTGCCATGGTAAGACTGAAACTTTATAATGCAATAGATGGCCATGTTTTGAAGTATCCATGTTATGCTTTCTAAAAAATTTCTTTTGCGGAACAACCAGGTTCATTTTAAATTCCATTTTTTTAGAAATTCCATTTCATGATCATCTGAACTGTGGGTAAATTCTGGTTTGCGGGCTAAATATTGTTGAACGTTGATTCAAAGTACTTACTTTCCACAGCTTTATGGTGGGATTCAACGATATCTGGAGCAATTTCCTGATGGTGGTTTTTTCAGAGGAAAGAATTTTGTCTTTGACCACAGGTATGATCACTTTATTTCGGTGTTTCTTAGTCAATCCCTACTTGAATTGTTGGTTTCAGTGATCCAGCATTCCTACAGATGTGATTACAACTTCATTATTACTAGGAAACTCTTTATCCAAAATATATGTGTAGCTGCTTTTTATCTCACAAACCATAAAATAACATATAATGCGGCTCCCCATGTTAGCACATTAAGCATATGTAGGTCTTTAACTCGATACCTCTGTGTGTGTGTGTGTATATGTACGTACGTACGTACGCGCGTGTGTGTGTGTTACAAAAAATGCATATCACCAGAAATTTACCTTTTTCCCATGTCAATATCCATAGGAGGCATTCTCAATGTTTTACCATACACTTTCTGGTCTTGGCAGGGTTTCAGTTGGAAGTTCAGATTCAAGAATTTTGGGTACTTGTCTTCTCTGTAATTCTCCATTTGATGATTACTCCTCACGGAGCCGGTGCACATACTGTAGGATGCTTGTATTAGTCTGTGATAATTGCCGGGTAAGTATCACTAGGAAGATTGATCAAGCCTCTTAATTGCATTAGCTTAGTTGGGTACTTAAAACTATTTCATATCTCAGAAATTCAATGCATACTTTATCTTGTGTAGTACTTGAACAGTTGAACTGTTATTGCACGGTATATATAGAGTGATGAGGGCATGAAGCATTCCTCTTAGATGGTTAACTGGTAGATCTCAACCTATGCTTGTTGCCTTGTATGCCTCTAGGCCTATCCGTTGATAAATTTTAGCAATTTTTCGGTTCTTCCCATCAGAAGCCGTGATGATGGACATGCATACCTATTATGTAGTTTTAGGTTGATTCTCCTAAATAATTGATGACTAAGGGCCTATCTTCACTTCTATGCTTGTTTGGTCTTTCGGCGAACTAATAGATAGCTGCCTTTCAGTTAGAAGTACCTTATCTGTGCTTTGGGCTAATTAGTACTGCAGTTACCTCCCTTTCATTTCATTGCTTTATATTTTCATTTGTCCCACAAAGAATGACCTCTTCTTTAAAATAACTGTCAACTTTTAAAAAAAAAATCAATTGATGTAATAATATTGCTTTTTTATTTGAATTTTGATGCGACATCCATATACCCTTTTCAAATATTCAAATTTCCAAGTATTGCATTATTACTTTAACATAATGGTCTTGTCTCAACCATCTTGGAAGTCAACTCTGTTTGGTCATCTAAGGAGTATTTCCTTTTTGATTGTTTTGTCATCTTTTCTTCACCTCTCTCTTCCTTTTGTTAAATGTTTCTCCTGTCTTGCAGGAGAAGGATTCTTCTTATGTTTGTGAACTATGCCGGAAAAACAGCCAGTGTATTCAGCTAACTTCAGCAACAGATTTTGACAACTCAGTGGAAATATCAGAAGTCGCAGAGCTTGAAGCTGTCTCTACTTCAGACAGAGTAGCAGTACCTGCCTTGGTTTCAGGTAATAGTATGGTTTCTAGTATTGACTTTCAAGTTCCGCTTTGCTTGTACTCTTTGAACTTTGATCTAAGCGAGATTGTATGACTATCCAAAAATTGTAGAGTAGATAGATATGTGCCCTATCAATTTTAATTTAAGCCATGCAGTATGACAATTGAAAAATACTATAGTACACACTTTGTTGCCATCACAAACATATTTGGGAAAACTAATTCAGGGATATGCTTTAAAATATTTCTTTTCTCCTACTTGGTGTGTCAAGGCACTCTTTGACATTATGTAGAGGAATACACTGCAGGACCCAAGACATTGCGAAAATTGAGAATTCTTTGCCTTCATGGTTTTCGCCAGAATGCTTCTGGTTTCAAAGGTAGAACTGCATCTTTAGCCAAGAAACTCAAGAGCATTGCGGAGCTAGTTTTTGTGGATGCACCCCATGAATTGCCTTTCATTTATCAAATTCGTCAAAACTGCGATTCTGCATCAGAACTGGAAAATAACCATCCACTTTCAGAGAGTTGCAATAAAAAGTTTTCATGGTTAGTTGCACCTGATCACAAGGGGGAGAACGATTCTGATTGGAAGATAGCTGACAGTCCATTTGATCCTCTTCAGTACCAGAAACAAACTGAAGGTTTCGATAAATCAATTGCATATTTAAAAGCCTTATATTCTAAAGCAGGACCATTTGATGGGATACTGGGTTTTTCACAAGGAGCTGCAATGGCCGCTTTAGTTTGCCTGCATCAACAGAAGCTAATAGGAGAGATGGAATTCAGATTTGCGATCCTGTGCTCTGGATTTGCTGTCAATATGAACAATTGTCAGCAAGGATCAATCAATGTTCCTTCACTTCATATATTTGGCAGCGACAAGGGTAAAGATAGGCAGATAGCGAATGAAGCTAGTAGACACCTTGCTTCTGTGTTTGAGAATGGCTGCTCTGTTGTTATTGAGCATGACTTTGGTCATATAATTCCAACACGACCTCCGTATATAGACCAGATAAAAGATTTCCTCAAACGTTTCCTGTAAGTTATTTACCTAACGTAACTCGGGCTTCGAGTCATTGATCAATAGAGCCTTGATGCACACCATCTTTTGCTGTAAGAGATTTGGGATTATGCTAGCTTGTACCATATGTTACAACTTGATGTTTGGCATATTTCGATATGTGTTGATGTTACTTTACCCATGTTTTAACCACT